GGGACTACTATAGGCTGTATGGATGGGTATACGAAAACTGCTACAGGCTGCGTGCGCTCAGCAGGCAAAACTTGCTGTTTTTAGATGCCAGCCTTCTGACCTGTCGGCTCCCGGCCTCAGCTGAGTTGACTAAGATAGCTGCCAGTGCTGTCAGCCCGGCAAAGCACCGCGTGGTGCGACAATGTATCAGTCATAAACACCCACCCTCATCCCACCCCCGCGCCCGCGCCACGCATGCCGCCCATACATTTCCGGGGTGACAAGCTCCTTATCCGCAGCCTGTCACGAAAGAAACAAATTAAGTTATACTGCGCTGGCAAGGAACGACGCCCCGCCGCGCCTGACATAGCGCTCGGGCATGGCGCGACACGTTACGTAACGAGGTGAACAAGCTATATTTGCATTTGGTGGCAACTGCGTAGACGACCATGCCAGAACCAAAAAAAGTGTCCATTCTGGTCGAACAATTTTTTTTCCTGCTGATGATGGGAGGTGTTTTTGTGTGTTGTTTTTATCGCTAATGACGACCGAAATGAATATACAGTTCGATCAAACCTCGATCCGTGCAATCAAATCAGTTCGGTCATCCGGCTCGACTAGCAGCGAGACATTCGTAGCTACCCCAGCCCCGCAGCCAGCAGCCGGTTATCCCGTGGTTGCCCCCGTCCCGCAGCCAGCAGCCGGTTATCCCGTGGTTGCCCCGTCCCGCAGCCAGCAGTCGGACGTCCCCTGGTTGCCCCCGTCCCGCAGCCAGCAGCCGGACGTCCCCTGGTTCCCCCCGTCTCTTAGCCAGCAGTCGGACATACCTGGTTGCCCCCGTCCCGCAGCCAACAGTCGGGCGCCCCCTGGTTGCCCCCGTCCCGCAGCCAACAGTCGGGCGCCCCCTGGTGGCCCAGGTCCCGCAGCCAGCAGCAGGACGCCGCACCAGGACGCACCGCAGCAGCCAATCAGGGGCCGAGAATACAGCGATGGACGGACTGTGGGCGACGGGGTACGGGACACCATCGCAGTCCGCCCACGCCCGGCGGCCTGTGACGGTCAGATGACAAACCGATGACGGCTGCCGGCTCCTAGCGACATAACGAGAAAGCCGAGCCGGCCTGGCGGGAGCGTGTCGGCGCGGCTCCTCCGCCCTGAGGCGACGCAGCCGAGCCGGCGGCCCGACACTGGACGCCAGAGGCGACGCCCCGGACCGGGGGCCGAGAGTCCGAGGCTCGCTCAGACCGGTCGCGGGGTGGCCCGGCCAACTCCGCCGGTGAGGTGGCGCGGTGGCATGCAAGCAGCTGAGGTGGCACCCGTGGTGTCATGCATATTTGCTGTTCAGGTGTTCACCTGTCAAAGAGTTCACTTGCGGGAGCCATCCAAAAACACTGCGGACCTCTCGGTAAGCCCAGCAGCGTGCGCTGAAGATGACGCCGGACCGGGTGCGGCTGCGGCTGCACGCCATATCTGCCGCGGCGATTGCGACTGATGGGGCTCAGCACCCCAGTGGCACAGGGTCGCCCATAGGGTCAAGGGGGCGAAACGGAGGCCAGCCAACCTCCGCCTTTCTTTCCTGCCATCAGCTAGACAAGAGCGGGCGCGAGATCATTGCGGCCAACGAGTCGTGAAATGATAGCGATATTACCAACAATCCATCGTGCTTTTTTCGTTTACCTAAAGAACGGCAAGCGCAGGCCTTTTATGGAGTGCCAGCGACTGCAGCGATCACAGCAACATTGAGAGGTCATAGCGCGACCGGGGCTGGGACCCGGGTCCCCTCGTGGAAACCGAAGGCACTGAACACTGGGCAATCACGGCCCCTGATCCGAGCCAGTTCTGCCGTATGTGGCTCAGGTGCTCGTGCGCTCGTGCCATCCCTGCAGCCTGAACCGCAGACCTGCTCCTTGTCATCCCGTGTCCTTTCGTATCTGGACATCTGCAGCACAACCCAAACCCCGGCGCCCCGGTGCTGCTCGGCGCCCTGTCCGGGCTCGCCCCTCGCGCCACCCCGTTCTCCCTCGAGGGGGGTCAGTTGGTGAGGCGCGGCGTCCTGTCCGGGCTCGCCCCTCGCGCCACCCCGTTCTCCCTCGAGGGGGGTCAGTTGGTGAGGCGCGGCGCCCTGTCCGGGCTCGCCCCTCGCGCCATCCCCGCTCTCCCTCGTGGGAGGTCAGTCGGTGAGGCGCGGCGTCCTGTCCGGCTCGCCCCTCGCGCCACCCCGTTCTCCCCCGAGGAAGGTCAGTCGGCGAGGCGCGGCGTCCTGTCCGGGCTCGTCCCTCAGTCAGTGAGGTGCGGCGCCCTGTCCGGGCTCGCCCCTCGCGCCACCCCACTCTCCCTCGTGGGAGGTCAGTCGGTGAGGCGCGGCGTCCTGTCCGGGCTCGCCCCTCGCGCCACCCCGTTCTCCCCCGAGGAAGGTCAGTCGGCGAGGCGCGGCGTCCTGTCCAGGCTCGTCCCTCAGTCGGTGGGGCGCGGCGTCCTGTCCGGGCTCGCCCCTCGCACCACCCCGCTCTCCCCCGAGGAAGGTCAGTCGGTGAGACGCCAGCTGACACAGCCGGCCCTCTAGAGGCCGCGCTGCTGAATGTGCCACGTGAGTCAGCAGCCATCGCAGACGATCGCACATCGAGACACGAGATAATCACGGGTTGCTCGACCGCGATGCCGGGTCAGTTGGGATAGCACATAACGAAAGCCGTTAGTGCTGCACGACACAGCGAGGGCCGCTAATAAACGAGCACAGCTCGACCGGGGCTGAAGCAGCAGACGCCGACACCACTCCAGCCCTGCTCAAACGTGCTGGCACAGCAACACGCCAGCGCTACTGACACTTCCAACCATCCAAGTGCTTTACATGATCCCGTGTGCTCGTATCGAAGGCCTTCTAACGATGTCTCCTCGCGTCGCTCGAGGTGTAACGCTGAGCAACACTTCCTGACATCCAATGCGCGGGCTCTTCCACCTGCATCACCTCCCGATCCCCGGTGGAGCGCAGCACAAACGGCGCGGCTCCACGCATGCCAATCATAACGTGAAATAAACCATCCGCACTTAATAAACATAAGCCACACGCACCAAAAACCTAAGAAATCCAGCCCATCACCAACCACGAGAACCCCGGGGGTGGTCGGAGACCTGCCTGGGTGCCGCCGGCCGGCCAGGTGCAGTTGGAAGAGCGCTGAGCCCGGCCCGGGCCCGCTCGAATCAGGCCCCGCGCGACGTGGCCCTGGCCGGGACTGGCCGCTCGCACGCGCGCCCCGACCAGATCACGCGCCATCGTGTGCCTGCCCTCGCCGAGCCCTGATGATTGCGGTCATCAGTGTTGCGAGCGCCCCCGACCAACCTCAAGACGTGGTGGATGATGGTGTGGCCCGAGTCACCGACGGCCGGTGAGTGCCGCCTTCCCAACGCACTACGGGCACTCATGGAGGAGGCATGTGTGCACTAATGTGGCCACTCGGTGGAACGACAGTATCTCCGTCACTGCCGTCCGAACTGCTTCAAAATAGGTTGCAACTTATTCTAAGCAAACCCTTACACTGAACCCCAGATCTCGGCAGCATTTCCACAGCAGGAAACGTTGATCCATATCACATGAATAGAACTTGATGCGCATTACCAGATCGATGACTGCATTCAATGAAAGATGGCTGTTCAAGACCGCTCTGGCACCCGAAGGTTACATGTGACCGTGGTGCTCTCCCGGGCCGCCGCTGGGAGGGGAAAACCGGCGACGCCCGGTCCCGGGCACACCGGTTGGCGGGAGGTCATGCGGGTCACGAGGGGCCGGTCATCCCGAGAAGCAGCCCGATCCCGCGGAACTGCAACACTTTGATACTGAGGGGCTGCAGCAAACGGCGTGAGCTTGCTGGCAAGAAACCGGGCAACAACACGCACCTGAGCAGCCGCACGACTTCATGAGATGGGGAGGGAGTCGGACTTGTGGGGGCAACACTCGGATCTGATCGGTGTGTTGAACGTGGCAAACGCGATAGCGTGCATTTTACGACCACTATCGGGCAGCAAACCACCTCGCAAATTCGAGCGACTGGTACCATGCTCCCCAGCGTTCAGGCACGACGTACAGGGCAGTAGTTCCGCCGGCCGCACAGGGCCGGCGAAACACTGCAGCGGCTCGCGTCGCTCCCGCAGCCCGCCCGCCGCCGCCCGCGAGACGCTTCTGAGACGCGCTGACTGGCCGCGCGCGCTCACCTGCATTCCCCGACTCCTGCCCGGTGTCCTGGCGGCGCCAGCAGTCAGCCGCCGCGCACGCCCCTGTCACAGACCGGCCCGTGCCGCCGAGCGTCGCGTCGCGCCGCACCGACCCGCCGCCGCGCACCCGAGCCCACTGCCGCCGGCGCCGAAGGTCAGCCGCCGTCCGCCCGGTAAACAGGCAGCCGCCGACGCCGCCGCCGCCGCCAATCAGCGCCCTCGTTGCAGCGATCAATACCGCGGCGGCGGCCAATGGCCGGGCGAGCGACGCAGCCGGACTTCGTTGTAGCGCCGGCTAAAAATAGATGCGCCAGCTGGATGCTTTTGCACGCCGGTATAAATAGCTGGTGGCCCGGCGGCGCCGACAGCTCCCGGGCCGTCCGGGCCGGGGCCGCGCCGTCAGATGAGAGCGGCCTCGAGGGCGGCCTGGCTGTGACAAATCGGCAATCGGACGCCGACGAACACGCCGGCGGCCGCCTGCGGGGACGCCCGGCGCTGGTGTCCGAGCTCGTCTCACTTGAGTGGACATAGTGGGGCGGATGGCTTGTTCGAGGATCATTCCGCGGAGTTAGTGGAGCAGGTCTATGGCGGCACCCATGTCGCAGTGTGGGCCAGGAGCGGCTCACAGGGGGCGCGGCGAGCCGGGTGCGGCGCCCGTTCGCCGGGGCTGGGCTGGGGGCTGGGGGCTGGGGTCCGGGGTCCGGGGCCTGGGGCCCGGGGCCGGGGCCGGGGCCGGGGCAGGGGGCCGGGGCCGGGGCCGAGGCCGGGGCCGGGGCTGGGGCCGGGGCTCGGGCGTGCAGTCGTGGGGGCCGTACCTGAGGGCGCTGGTCCGATGCCGACGTCAGCGGCCGGCGGCTCGGCCTGTCCGTCCATGGAGTCCATGGCTGGCCGGCGGGCGCCGGGCCGCGGCCACCTCCGGTCACCGCCTCCGCTGCCGGGCAGGCGTAAGGAACGGGTCACGGCCTGGCGTACTGCTCCCAGGTTACTCCCCCTCTCGCCACCGTGCGGCGGACAGACAGCCGCAACTCACACACGCACACATGGCCGCACGCAAGGTCAGCGGTGAAGCCCGAGACACGGGGGGCGAGGCTGGCGAAGCACGCCACGTCGGCGCGTGTGGCCCGGCCGTACACGGCGCGCGTCCACCGACAGCTCACGGCACGGCCGGTGACGCCCCAGGGGCGCCGCCGAGGGCCCCGCCGAGGGCGCCGCCGAGAGCGCCGCCACGTTACGCGTCAGAGCGCGGCCGACTGCAACCGCCCTGGTTCAGTGCGGCACGACACGTCCGTCTGACGGACGGCACCCACGGCCGACGATACATACGAACGAATCAGTTGTAGATAGCAAGCCGGTTTGTGCTAAAATTGGGGGAAGAAAAGCAAGCATTGGAGGCAGAGCAGAATCCCCACGCGCCACACGTACCAACGCCCACCACAACAACGCTGCAGCGTGCGTCAAACCCACTCTGATCCGGCCGTAGCACAGTAACCGTCCTGTATCCGCCCTTAGCACGAGCACTTATGTAACACTGGCATGTTAGGCAACAGGTGTTGACCGGCAACAGGCAGCTGGTAGCCGCGACCCTTTTTACAAGAAATGCTGCGAATCGTCAGGTTCCAAACAACGCCAACTCGGGGGTCACGTTTGAAAGAAAACCTTGGGTTTCCTTACGGCTTAGCTTCAATACAATAGCACGGGTAGGTGCAGCTCTTTCCAACCCTTCAATCCTCCATGTCAGTGTTAAGTCGCTCGCTATGACTTCGTCCCCGAAGGCGAAAAATATTTCTCGAAGGCGACATTGCAAAAAATCGTCATTCTGCGAAACAATTGAAGCTGCCCATGCTTGGGATCTTCTTGTAACAAAGGCGTGGTATGCATGCATTCAAGTTGCAGCACATTCCAATATAGCATGCGCTCTATAAAGAGATAAAACACATCTTGGGCTACACGATGGCCGTATGATGGAACGGCTACAAGATGCGCGCCATCAACGCCCGTGATCTTCGCACAGATCATTCACATCAATAACCTCAGGTAAAACCTTGAACTTAACGTTAAACCATCCCACCCAGCCGCTGCGACGCGAACCGAAATGCCTGTCGTGTCACTGACGATATCAGGCTCATTCAAGGCCCAGGGCCCGTCTGGTTAGGCCTCTAAGCCGCCCAAGTATGTGTTTGCAGAACTTTGATAGTGGAACGTGTCATGACACCTCACGAAAACTTGGATTACTTCCTGCTAGTACGCGGTGTCACGCTTTGGCATCAACCGGCTTCACCCTGCAGACAGTCTAAAAGCATCAATGGGATGGCAAAAATTGTATCTGACCTAACATGACCTCATCGCGCAGGTCATCTGCATAGCGCAAATAAAAATGGCCTTGATCAAGGCTGTCCATACATCACACCGGCTTTTCAATCCGGATTCAATGGCTCCGGCGTGCGATCAGCGGCAGGATCGTACGGCGTGCGATCAGCAGTAGGATCGTACGGGGTGCGATCAGCAGTAGGATCGTACGGCGTGCGGCCTGCGGTCAGCGGCGGGATCGTACGGCGTGCGATCAGCAGCGGGATCGTACGGCGTGCGGCCTGCGATCAGCAGCGGGATCGCACGGCGTGCGATCAGCAGCGGGATCGTGCGGCGTGCGGCCTGCGATCAGCAGCGGGATCGTATGGCGTGCGATCAGCAGTAGGATCGTACGGCGTGCGATCAGCAGCGGGATCGTACGGCGTGCGATCAGCAGTAGTATCGTACGGCGTGCGATCAGCAGCGGGATCGTACGGCGTCCGCAACGGGATCGTACGGCGTGCGATCAGCAGCGGGATCGTACGGCGTGCGATCAGCAGTAGGATCGTACGGCGTGCGGCCTGCGATCAGCAGCGGGATCGTACGGCGTCAGCAACGGGATCGTACGGCGTGCGATCGGCAGCGGGATCGTACGGCGTGCGATCAGCAGTAGGATCGTACGGCGTGCGGCCTGCGATCAGCAGCGGGATCGTACGGCGTGCGGCCTGCGATCAGCAGCGGGATCGCACGGCGTGCGATCAGCAGTAGGATCGCACGGCGTGCGATCAACACCGGGATCGTACGGCGTGCGATCAGCACCGGGATCGTACGGCGTGCGATCAGCAGCGGGATCGTACGGGGTGCGATCAGTGGCGGGATCGTACGGGATGCGATCAGCAGCGAGATTGCACGGGGGTGCGGTCAGCAGCGGGATTGCATGGGGTGCGATCAGTGGCGGGATCGCACGGGGGTGCGGTCAGCAGCAGGATCGTACCAGCGTCCAAGCTATGGAATGCAGCGAAACAGACGAAGCTGGTGAACATTAACGGGCCTTCGTTCTCTCCTCGTTGTATAAGGCGGAAACATATCATTTTCACCTCGCCATTGGAATTCCGTTAGCGATGGACTCATCGGATGAGCGGCACAATACGCCTTATACACAAGCTTACATATGCTTAAAGGCATTAAGATAAGCATACAGTCAGTCCAGAACAAAGGACTGAGCCCGGACCGGTCCTCCAGCTAACTTAAAGAAGCGGTTCTATTTTGAACTAATTGTGGTGCACCACGGCACTGGGCGCGTGACGTGGCCCTGAGAATTTAATCCCGACTTCATGGAACTTCTTCAACTCGTGACGAATTGGTCAGAACTTTAATTGCAAAATATGATTGTGGTCAGAATCGTACCAGCCGACAAAACTAGTAACACAATTGAACATTTCAGCTGTTCGGTGTCCAAACGCTAGAGTCTAACCACGTCACCACACCCGTCAAAACAAAAGGCGTCCAGACGGACCCCATGAGTGGACGTCCGATGGCACGGACTGGAAACCGTATTTTACTAGACGAAGTAAAATACTTGGCTACTGGAGTCTTAATACTAGACTTGGTCTAGTCTGGTATTTAAAAGACTTGGAACCCCAAGTTTTCATTGCTTGCCGCTCGGCCACTTGAACGGCCATTAAAAGTGAAGACGCATCGCGAAACAAAGCGACTTGGAAAACTGAACGCCACCCGTATATTTTGGAGCGAAATGAGCCCTTCCCTGTTCACTTTCAATGCCACGGGAAGTCAACCGACGTCAAGGTTGTTATTGAGGGCCAGCGCAACTAGCGGGACGTGCCGACCAATACCCTAGACAGCATACCATGACACAGTGACAGAGAAGCAGCTTGAATTGTGTGCAATGTGTGGGCCAGATGGCTCCGATGGTTGTAACGCCCGGTGCTCCAATCGTCCACTCCCCACCATCCGGTTCCGAACTAACCCAGCATAAGAGAGCACCTATAGAGCGCGTGTAAAATTGAAACGTGTTTGTGAGTTTTCAATCCTCAGCGCTACATACCAAGCTCGTGATCATGTGTACCTCTTACAATTTGATCACTGCTGGCAAATAACTCGGTAATTAAATGGCCTAACTCGGCGTGAGATTACTGCCACACAGGAAATTCATTACGCAACGGGCACTGGGCACTCCATTCTGCACTTGCATTTAAATGCATTCGCAAGGCACTAAATGCGCATGCAATTTACACCATAGGCATGGGCATTTACATAGGCAGATGGAGCAAGCTGTTTCCTACCTCAGCTTTTCACAGCATTCCTCACAGACATCTATTGAACGCCAAATGGCCGGGACATCCTGCGCAAACGCGGCCCGGGCTCACAGGGAGTCGCGCGGCAGAACACGTGAGCATGTATGTCGTAGACCAACTGACTTATCCACCTCACAAAGACGTGATGCCCACATAGCAGCTGGAACATCAGTCAGCGGACTGCACTTGGAAGCTTCTTCAGTCGTCAGCACAGTCCACCCGAACCGTGAGCTGTGTTCTGTGCGGATATGTGCGCGCGGCTGCTAACCCCGGCGCGGGCCGAACATGGACGATGCGCGAGTACCAATGGGGTTTGAGTCAGGGGTGTCACTTTTTAAAGCCGGTTGGTGCCTCAGCTGATAAGATCGACCTAACCTAGCACAAAACCCGACTTCTCCCTGCATTTCGACCACCTTAAGTCAAGTTCCGGATGTGAAGGATTAACAACACAGTACAAACATTAAAAAATGTTGTTTTTTAAGCATGCTTTGTGGGCGAATGGCACCCCTTTCTAAGTCTACGTGAAACTGCAGCTTTGTGAGAAGCTTAGAGTTGGGTGTAATCCACAGAAAACACCTCGGTAAGACCGTCCCACACGATCCGCGTAAAGACGCCTTGTTTAATGTCCACGAAAGGTCGTCCGAGCCGCAAACAGACAGTTCCATGCAGACTGCTGCGGCCTGACACGTGCAGACTAGAGAGGAATGTACACATGATACAATGGCTGTGGGGAGGCCACGGCAAACAGACAGTGCCATGCAGACTGCTGCGGCCTGACACGTGCAGACTAGAGAGGAATGCACACATGATACATTGGCTGTGCGGAGGCCACGGGTGCGCACTGACAGGAAGCACCCACACCTAAAAAGCGAAACTGAACGTGTACAAACAGAGAATGGCCGGGATGAAAAACAGCGCGACCTGCGCCTTAACGCGAGTTCGAAGTTGATGCAAGCAAGAAAGGCCATGCGCTCGTAAACGTTCTATCGGCCTTCATTTTTAGAGGTGGTACTGGTTAAAACACGTTATCAAGCAAGCAATGGCCACGTTGACTAAAATTGGACGTTTTAAACAGGTGTTCATGGTCAGGTTTCCTCTAAACAAAACAAAAAAATGTAACAGTGCGCCAACCTTTATTTCAGCCCGAAACACACCATGCAAAATGTGTTCGTTCCAATCCTTGATACACTTGTCGTGATGCAATCAGGTCAAAGATACACCACAGACCTGTACTTTGAACCCACGGCCGCAACCACACATTTCGGTTTCATGGAGCTTTGGAAAACATTTTGGAACGCACATTTGCAGATCGCGCCACACCACTGGGTAA